CTTAAAAAGAACGCCACAAATTGGCGGGGTGTGCCCAACAAGCAGGACCAGGATTCGAGGACTGCTGATGCACACTGTTGGCTTCATCACAAATCAACAACCGTTGGTGCAGCAATGAACTGTTGCTGTTGCAGAAGGTAAATGTGTCCTGCATCCAGTGAAATGACGTACATCTTCATTCCACATCAGCCCCAACCCCACCCATGCCGTGAAGCTTCATCTCCTCTTGACATCTTTGGCAAGTGCAACGAAATGCCGTTCACGTGGATGTTCAGCTGGCCTGGAACTTACTTGCCAACTAGGTGACTAGGGAAATTACTATTGAGAAAGCAAAGGGACGATGCCTGGTTACTTATTATATGCGTTATGCGTGACCCTGGATGGTTTTGAGCCTGGCTAGAGGCCAATCGACCACTTACAGTGGCTTCTCTCGGTCAGCATGGCTCATCCTGAGGGTTGGTCGAGCCTGAGCTCATATAGGTGACCGAAGCCCATTTGTGGGTTTCCTGATTTGGGGTTGCCCGGATGGGATTCCAAAAGGAAACCAAGACCGTCCGTTTTGGGGGTCTTCCATATTTCCAGACCAACCCAACCGATGGGCCCCCCGTGGCCAAGTGACTTTTTCGCTTCTCGCACGCGTCGCAGGCGAAGCCACAAGGCCGGGGTTTGGAGGACAGGGCTGTCAGTTTTGAAGAGCTTGCCAGATGGTAAGGCCTGGTTCCACTTGTTGTGGTGTCCCATGGATTACGGATTAAGGCAACAGAATCGCGTTGTGAGCTATACCCAATGCTTGGACAGATGCATGGATGTTTGGATGTTTAACCCCCAAAATGGGCTGTTTCCCTTGTATACGGTTTAAACCAGCTCTAAAAGGGTGTAGGAAGCCCCCCGCAGGAGTCTCGTGTTTCGGGGGGGGGGGGGGCGTGTTTGGTTGGCTTTAAAAGAGGGCCAGCAGGAGACGGCCCATTTTGGGGTCCAAATTCCGGTTTACCACCACACAAGTTTTCGTATCTGTTGGGACCTCGTTGTACCAGGTGACAGAGAAGGAGTCAAATCGGGGCTTAGCTCCAAAGTTGCCCTTGGGGGTGGTGGGGCGCTTGCCTTTTCACATGCTTTTGTTGGTTGTGCGGGGGTCTCTTTGCAAAATCAACGAGACCTGGACCTCAAAGTGCAAACCGAATGAACTGAGCGGGGAGTCTTCTCTGAAAGGTTGAATGGATCTCATGTTTAAGTCCAAAGTGAAGCAGCCAGTTCTTTTATGTACCCACCCTCCCTTTGAGTGAAGGTGCTAAAGAGAGCCCCATGCGTGTAGCCCTAAAGACGGCCCCTTTTGATGGAAATGTCACAAGTTGGACCCTTGTTTCATCTTGAAGCAGTTTGGTATGTGTCAAAATAGGGGGACCCCAAACACGGTGATTTTTCTTGTGATTTCCCTTTAAACCGGTGAAGAAGGTCATTATTCTCAGCGAGACACTCAGATATATTATAACTCTCATAACTCGTGGATATTCTACCTTTTGGGGCGCCCTTTGAGGCGCGGAAGCAAGCCATTTCCTGAAAGCAACCCTCAGGTTCCATGTTGCCCCAGGTACCCCAGAGGTGCCCCAAACAGGTGTCTGGGAAAGTCCGCGTTGTTGTTGTTGTTGTTGTTTTTTGTCGCCCTAAAGCCTTTGTCGCCAAGAGCTTCTTTTTCGCACAGGGCTTTGCGCCTCCTACGGCTGCTCGCTGCTCGGTTTGCCGAATTAGCCGAGCGGCGGGCTGGATTCGGTATGTGTTTTGCCAAAAAAAGCAAACAAGTAAATGTGGCGTGTCAAGGGGAACTAGGGGGAAATTGGATAATCACCAGCAATGACGTTGGGTCCTGTTTGGCCGCCTCACTTAGGTGAAAAAGAGGCTTAGAACCCTCCCAACCAGGGGTTACTGGGTTCACAACCCATTTAGAATCAAACTTGGGCAGCCAAGTGGTACATTTCAGTGGGAAGACCCAAGTTGGGTGACGCAAAGACGATATCTCCGGTTGAAGATCCACGTCGAGGTAAGCAGCGATTGCCCGAGCCTGTCAGCAAGAAAACACAGATTCGGAGAATCTCATGGCTTCACCCTTTGGTTTGAATGTCGAGGATGCCTGCTTTTAGTGCGTGATGTGATGTGTGGTGTGTGTGTGTGTGTGGGTGTGTGGGTGTGTGGGTGTGTGGGCGTGGGTGTGGGTGTGGGTGTGGGTGTTTGTGTGGTTTGCGCTTGTTTGTGGGTCGAGGCATAGTGTTCCATTACTCAAAGAAGCTTTCATTGTGCCTGCGGCCACCTATGGAACAAACAAGCAGCCCTCCCAGATGTTTGTCGCGTCCAGGCTTGCCTTCTGCATGTCTCCCATGAGGTTAGTATAAAACAGCACCCTTTTATGGTTCTTGATGTTACCTCTTTTTTGGCAGTTCAACATAACTTCCTCGTGGTGGCGAGATGTTTTTACTGGAATCCTGCAGGTGGTGTCGGATCTCCGGTTAGTTCTGCTTCCCCAGTTTCCCCTTATGTAGAACCATCCAACAAAAAGAACACTTTTGTCTAAATGGAAAGCAATCTACAAAGGATGGCTTTGTGGGTGCGATGTTATCCTGCAGGAGAGTAGCAAGTACATTTGACTCGCATGATCCAAACGCCCGGAAACTGGCGTTTTTGTGATAGCAAGGTAAAAAATAGCTCGGATAGTCCAATAGGGATGTACATAGCAATGTATTTTGCTTGCCAGAAAGGGACCGAACATAGCCCTTTTGTTTTTCAGCTGTTGATTCTCATCCCACTAAGTTTTCAGCACCTGGGAGTCCGTTAGGTCGGAGTACGTGGCCAGCCACCATTGCCAGTGCACCGAGCTGTGCGGCAAGTACAACAACTGCTGCCCGGGGCCCAGATCCATCGACTGAAACTGCCTCGAGAGGCGGGAGAAGGCCCCTGGTTTCCGGTCAAACAGTGCTCAATGGGAACCGGGGTGACAAGCATATACACATGTGTTATATATATATATATATGTATGTGTGTCGCTTCCTGGGCACGAGGTGGGAGGTATGTTTTGTGGTCAAGTTGTTGTTTAGTTTTTTGTCAGTTGTGGGTTCCTTTACAACAAATCACAACCCGCCCATTTGGGGGTCCGCTTCCAATGAGACAAATCCACGCCTGATTTGTTTTGCCCAAAGCACTAGAATTTCCTCAAGCAAGTCCCCCTTCGCACACCGCACCCGTCGAGAAACTCGATCGTTGCCAGACGGACCGCTTTTCTTTTTGATGACTGTTCGCCTTTTTTGCGTGCCATGCTCCATTTCAACCAGCAAAACACGGAGCTGCAGAGGTCCAAGTCTGGCCCACATTGACCCAAACGGTGAGGGGTTCGCTCCAAACAAGAAAGAATAGAAAGATCCCTGCTTTCGAGCAGGCACTAGGCACTCTGTGCACCAGCTCGCACTTCAGGCGCTGACTACACGGCAGTTTGCAAGGCCCGAGGCTCAGTCGGGGCTGATATGGTTCCCAATTTCCAGGAACACCCCAAAGTTGCTGGACAGATCCTTTGTAAATCAATGCCACCAACAGGATCCCAATTAGAAACCATGCCCAAAGGTCCCTTTGGAAGGATGCTGTGCAATGGCCTTGAATGTGTTGCAATGGGATGAGAAATAGGATAGTAGGGCAGAGCCTTGTGAGATCTTGTTAGTACCTGTGGTTTCCGGCCTCCCTTTCTCGGCATTTGTGCTCATGCGGCCAGCTTCTTCATGGGATTTGAACCGCTTTGATCCCTTCCCCTTCCGGAGGCTCTGAGCCGGTTTTCAGACGCCCTGAAAAGGTGCTTCCAAGCTTTCCTCATTCTTTTTAGCTTGCCTTGGCTGCTTTGGAGATAGGGCCTCACACACCGAGTTGTCTTGTTTAGCCATCTTTTGGTTGAGCGTTTGCTGATTCTCATGTATTCATGGGGAGTTCAATCAGGGTTCAAATAAGGCGACATCAATATGGCGTTCCTTCGGTTCGCTTCCCTTTCAGCCAAATACCCACAAAAAAAGCACACATATATCAGTTTCTTTGAACCCCGCCACTTAGAGCCACAAGGGCCCGGGAATCTGCTTAGCGCCTGTGGGTTGGCCTCAAAGGCCTCATTATGAATGCGACGTGTTTGAATTTGGGGGGCCTTTGGACATCTTGTACATGAGGATGCAGGTCCACCAATCATTGAGGATGTTCCCGCATCAAAGTCATAGCCATGACCCCCTTTTACCATTGGGATACCAGCTCGGGCCCATGCAGCCAGCTTTTCCCACTTTGCGGAAGGAGACTGTGCTGAACGATCAAGAAACTTTCATTATTTCATTTCACATGGCAGGGATTTGGAGGAGACAGTATTTCTGAAGCTCACTCGTGACTGTTTCTTGTGTTTCCCTCGTTCCGAAATCCAGAAGCCTCAAAATACCCGAAACCCGCAACAGGGATGGGAGAACCAGTCAAGTGCGGAATGCGCCTTGGGTCGCTTGGGCATGTTTAGTTTGTTTTTTTTTGCCAGGTTTGCTTTTTGCTGTTGTCGCCATGGGTGGCTTTGCTCAGGTAGCTTGACAGACCAGTTCCAAGGAGGAGTGACGAAGAATTGCTGCAACATGTGTGTGTGTGTGTGCGTCTTTCTTTCGGGTTTTGTTTTAACCAACCCAACGAGGGCACCCTCAAAAAAGAAACACAAATCCTTTGCAGCAGTTCAATTATAGAGCGGATGACATCTAGACGAAATCCGGCAGCGTTTCCCCAGTTACATGTTTCAATGTACTGCTGGCCATGCCTCGGTCATTGTGGATTGATTGCTTTATGTTGCAGTTGCTGAAGACATGGGTTGCAGAGGGCGCTCTGCAAACGCTGTAGCTGACAAAGCGTTCCCTCCATGTTCTTAGTTTGGAGCATCGCAACTTGGTCGACATTAAAGTGAGGTGAGCTTTCGTGTAGGGTGATGTTAGGATTAAAATATAGGGAACTCTGTTGGCATGGAAGCTCCCTCTCTAGCATTGACCCTAGCTGGCCTTGATGGACGGCAAGTTGGCGTGACTGTGCCAGCTCGCACCCTGGGGATCGAGTTACTGCGCCGGGTGCGGTGTGAGCTGCCTTCCAAGCCCGGCTGTGTCCTGCGCATTTTCTTCGGCGGTGAGGAGCTGTTGTCGGAGAAGACTCTGCAAGAGCAGGGGCTGGAGACAGACGCAGTTGGCACGTTTACCTATTCTCAAACCTGCCTAGTGAAGGCTTGGAAAGTGTTGAATGGACTTGAGACTGATTCCGGGCATGCGCTGGAAGGCATCACGCAGCTGAGTTGGGACAGCCCAGATGAGGGAGTACAGCAGCTTGCAAATGTGGCTGAGTTGTTATCAGCTTTGCCAAACACGCTGCAAAGCCTGACTTTCGGCGGCAACTTCAACCACAACTTGGAAGGGGTGACTTTGCCACGCAGCCTGCGGAGCCTGACCTTTGGCGAATCATTCGACCGCGACCTGCAAGAAGTGAACCTGCCAGACAACCTGCAGAGCCTGACTTTCGGCGACGACTTCAACCAAAGCTTGGAAGGGGTGACTTTGCCGCGCAGCCTGCAGGGCCTGACTTTTGGCGTGGCATTCGACCGCGACTTGGAAGAAGTGAACCTGCCAGACAACTTGCAGAGCCTTACTCTTGGCGGGGACTTTGACCACAGCTTGGAGGGAGTGATATGGCCAGCCAGCCTGCAGAGTCTGACTTTTGGCTGCGCATTCAACCGTAGGTTGCAAGGAATTACTTTGCCAGACAGCCTGCGGGACCTAACTTTTGGCGACACATTTAACCAAAGCTTGGAAGATATGCTTTGGCCAAGCAGCCTGCAAAATCTGACCTTTGGACAAGGTTTCAACCAGATCTTGGAAGGAGTCACTTTTCCAAGCAATGTGCGGAGCCTGACTTTGGGTGCAGACTTCAACAGCGCCTTAAATGGAGTGACTCTGCCAGGTAGCCTGCAGAGCCTGATTTTTGGCAACGATTTCAACCAATCGTTGGCAGGGATTACTTTGCCAGGCAACCTGCAGAGCTTGACTTTTGGCAGGAACTTTAACCTTAGTTTGGACGAGGTGACTTTGCCAAGTCTACAGCACTTGACTTTTGGCACACGCTTTAACCAACAATTGCAGGGAATGACTCTGCCACAGAGCCTGAAGAGCCTGACTTTCGGCGCCAACTTCAACCAACACTTGAAGGGAGTGAGTTTGCCACATAGCCTGCGGAGCCTGGAATTCGGCGCGGCATTCAACCAAAGCTTGCGGGGACTTACTCTACCAAGCAGACTGCTGAGCCTGACCTTTGGCGAATCGTTTGACCAACACCTGCCGGGAGGCTTGCCAGGTAGCCTGCAGAGCTTGACACTTGGCACTGATTTTAGCTCAAGCTTTACGGGCATGGTGTGGCCAGCCAGCTTGCAGAGCGTGTCTATCGGTTTCACTTGCGGCCACAGCTTGCGAAGATTGAATCTGCCAGACAGTGTGAAGAACCTGACGTTTGGTGGGGAATTCAATCAAGACTTGGACAATGTCATATTGCCCGGCAGTCTAGAATCCCTGACTTTTGGCCCAGACTTCAACCAGAGTTTGCAAGGAGTGACTTTGCCATACAGCTTACTGAGCCTGACTTTTGGCGCGAGTTTTAACGAAAGTCTGGTTGGGGTGACTTTGCCAGGTAGCCTGCAGAGCCTGACTTTTGGCGCACGCTTCAACCAGCGCCTGCAGGGAGTGACTTTGCCATGCGGCCTGCAGAGCCTTACTTTTGGCCAACACTTTCGGAAGAGCCTAGAGGGAGTCACATTGCCTGACAGCCTGCAGAGCCTGAGCTTCTCTCGTGGAGCTCAAAACTTGCTGGGGGTGGAGTTCTCAAGCAAGCTGCAACGACTTCATTGTGGCCGCATAAGCATTGAGTGTGTTTGATCACACGGATTCTGAGATTGAAGTTGTGAATTGTGATTTAGAGTTGAACAGGCACAGAAGGTACTGGTATGTTTCAGCAAGAAGGTGACGCTTTCAAATCCAGTGCGATGCTGCTGTTTGCGTTGGGCGAGTGTCGCAACGAGTCGTATCACTCGCTGAGTTGTCTAATTGGCAGAGATCAGGACGGAGAAAATGGAGCAACGCTGTCCTTGTAACACAACCTTACGGGAACAGCCAACCTGACCTTGTTTCGGACTTATGATAACGGGGATTCTGTTTGGTCTCCCCTTTAAAAGCAACCCCTAAAAGGGTATGCCAAGAGGCACACCGACAGACCATGGCATGGCCCTTTCGCAGAAATCGATTCCTTCAGACCCATGCGCCTCCTAAAGGACCCACACCAACCAGTTGGTTTGACGCTCAAAAGGCCACGGCATGTCCACAAGCTGACTTGTCCACGCTTTTGTCAAATGGCCACACCCTGGTGCTGCCAAAGGTGCCATTGGGATGCCAACAGGGTTTCTCTGAACCTCGAAGTGACGAAACTAGCACGGTCGAACATTGGCTGGGTCCTTTCCAGCACCTAACAACTGCTGTTGCCCATGTCCAAAACCCAAAGCGGTGTCCAAAAAGTAGTGGTTGGGATGCTGGCTGGTTTGCTTGCTGATCCAAGTTCAACCCTACGTCTTTGCAAGCAGCGAAGAGCATTCGGGCAGCACTGGATGGCTGTTTCAGCCATTGTCATCAACCAATGGCCGCGACACGCACGACGCCAACGGGTTCGCCGTGACGGTTGATCCCCCATCTTTCAACGGAATCCACCAGACGGGTGGTTTCTCTTGTTTGTCCGTTTTATACAACCAAAAAAAAGTAACTCAAGAAAGGCACACGCCAATCATGCAAGTAGGTGGCAGTTTCACTGGAACCGGCAGGCAAGTGAAGTGTTTCAATCCTCCAAGAAAGTGGCAGCTTCATTGCAACCCTGTGCTGGGTGTTAGAACCGTTTTCTGTGATACCAAGTGAATCCCCTGTAAAACACCATTTATTTATTTTTTTATCCGAAGCCCTTCAGGGGTGGTTTCCTTTTGATTTCCCTTAAGCCTTAAACCAACCGCAAATCAGGCACCCTCCAAAAGCGGCAACCCCGACTCATTTTGGGAACTTTAGGGAGCTACGGTCACTGCGGTCAAGCCGCACTGAGCCTGATCTTGGCCGAGGCGACGACGAGCTGACGCCCCAGGGGCGTCCAAGCTTTGAGCTTGCGAAGTTAGGTTGCTTAAGACGTTTTGCTTCTTGGGGCAAACAGATATGGCTGTGGTTGTCAAAACCAATGGGATTCTTGGGGTTTTCGGCGCACCACCCATTTTAGAACCTATTTTAGTGGGGATTGGGATGTTCACTGGGGGGTACGGGCTTTTGACCCATGGCCATATAAGCTGTTTGTAGCGGATCAACTCACCAAGTCAGTCTGCTCAATTTGCGTTCCAGGGCATGTGCGTGTCAATTGAGGGAGATTGAGAGACAACATGTTTGATACGCCGTCTCGGTTTGTTCGTCTCTTTCACATACGGGAACCTCTTTGGAGATCACAGTTTGCTAAACCAAGACGAATCCAATGTGTTGCTCTGGGCCCATGGATTCTCCAGATTTGCCCGGCGCTCTGAGGTACAACAACACCCAAGCCCACCACGGCGGAGCCAACCACGGCAGAGCCCACCACGGCGCAGCCCACTACGGCGGAGCCAACCACGGCGGAGCCAACCGCCACCACCGACGAGGCGGTAAATTCCACGGAGAAGCCGAAGCCTATGACGACGGAGAAGCCGAGTGGCACTGAAGAGGAAACGGTGACCGACGGCACCTACAGGCAGGAAGTGGGGGCTTGAAGAAAGGATGGAGTGCATATGACAGACTTTACTGATGGCTCGAAGTCAACATGTTGCAGCCATGGAGCAAAGGATCAAAGATCATTCTAGGCCACTAGCCCGGTAAGGGCTGGAAAATGGGAGTTGCTCAATCGTGATAGACGAGCGACCACTTTGAGAAACTCCCAGGTGAAGTTGAACCTGCTAAAGCCGTTTTGAGAGTCGAGGACTTGTTGCTTTCAACCACAAGGCAAATGCAGGAAGTCTGGATGAGAAACTGTCTCTCAGTGAATTTTCAGGGAGGGCGGTTTCGACTCCTAGTTATGGAGCTTACCCTTTTGATAGGGTTGCTGAGAGGATTGAAAGGACCAAAGCTAGCGGCTTGGCTCCTTTGATTTTGCTTTACTTTGCCAGCGACACGTCTACCCTTCTGCCAGGGTTTTCCCCACCACCTGCTTGAGCTATTGCAGCGTTTGTGCCCAAGGTGATGGTTCGGAGCTCCCGATTTTAGATGCCCGGCACATTTGTATATCGGGTTGTGGCGTTTGTGTGTGTGTGTGTGTGTTTTGGTTTGTACCTTTTGGAGGGGTAGTGTTTTGCGATGCTGACAGGCCGTCACAATGACAGACTAATTCCTCACTTCCTGAAAGCTCACCGATGCATGTTCATAGGTTTCCTTAATGTAGAAGACGGGGAGAACTGAGTCCAAGGATGATGAGTTGCCATAATTTAACCCGCAACTAAGTAGATGGAGAATGGGGGCGTTCTACATAGGGGACTCTGCCTTTCCTCGTGGATGCCCTGTTTTCCTACCATGCAAACGGATTTTGGGACACTGCAATTCATTTGCCTTAAGCCAAGCTCACCATCGGGGCGTGTTCCTTTTGAGGGTTCGCTTTTTGTTGTTCTGGTTTTATCGGGAAACCAAACGAGCCGCCGAATCCATGGGACACGCCCTCTCCACACCCGTGCTTCGCGCAGGAAGGTTTGGCAAGCCCAGGCCAGAGCTCGGTGTGCCGCGAAATCGCCTGAAATCCCAAGAAGCCCCAGCTGCCTGATTTTGTCCACATATGTTGGTGAACCATGATTTGCAGGAAGGTCTTCTTTGGGGGTTCAGAGCAAGAAATTCACCAGGCACTTGGGAGTGGCCAGATTTGGATGAACACGCGTTTGGAGAGTTTCAAAGAGATCCACCATTATCGGGTGTGTGGCTTCCTGGGGATGTCTTTCTCAGATTTTAGATATATATTTGAAAAGCATGCATTCAGATGTTGTCTTGGTTGTTCCGTGGCAAGAAGATCTCTTCACCATGACGTTCCCTCTGTGTGTCATGAATGTCGAGTAGAGGGGGTGCGCATGCGTAAAACTGTACAAAGGCTGATCTCCTGTTAGCGTAGCTGCTGATTTATAGCACTTGGCCCTGAGCATCTTTCTACCCTGAGCATGCTGAGAAAGACCTATCGTAGGGCAAGTCTCTGCGTGCTGAGACAACGCGCCGATCGCGCCTTGCCCGGTTTAGGGCAAGACCTTCTTCGACCAGTTTAACTTCCTTTGGGACGACCCCAACCACGGCGCGGAGACCCGGAGAGGGCCCGAATTCTAGGACTCCTAATAAAATCGGGTCATGGAACATTAGCTTATTGGTACACTACCCTATGAGTCAAAGTCTTTCAGGCTCCTGTTGTGCGTGGCACGAAGCAACTGGCAACAAGTCTAGCTGTGCGCACCAAACCTCCGCTCAGTGCCATGGTGACGGTTGTGGGATCGAGGGGCTCATCCACACTTCTGTGATGCAAGCTGGAATCTCCCCCTGATTTTATGCAGGGTCAGTCTTTGGGGTTAGGCCCTTTTTAGGGTTTAGGTTCAGGATTCAACTTGCGCCAAACCCTCAGCTTGGGTTTAGATTCAAAGTTTGCCTTGCCCCGCCTACCGTGCAGCGGGGAGGCGGAGACCTTCGTTTCTCACCAACTCACAGATATGCTTTTGGTTGAGGCCAGCAACAGACTAGCCAGCCGCAAAAAACACAAGCAGTGACCCCTGCGAAAGCACAGACACACAGACACACAGACACACAGACACACAGACACACAGACACACAGACACACAGACACACAGACACACAGACACACAGACACACAGACACACAGACACACAGACACACAGACCGCCGGCGCAGCGGGGTGCGCCGCATGAGGTCTTGCGATGTCTTGAACATAGGCAGTTCGTTATGAGGCACGGGGTGCTAAATCGCTGGCAGGCGCGAGGGATTCTGGGCGTGTGGGTAAATGTGCCCGGGCAAACCAAGTGCTGCCCGTATGGATACATGCGCATGGAACTCAAAGAAATTATCCCAATAAACAGTGTTCCAGGGAAATTTGTGTTTGTTGATCCTGTGTAGAATTGCTAACAGACAGATGCAACTGTAAGAAAAACACGATTGATCTCAAGGGCTTTGCTCGCTTGGGTTGGGGGGTCCAGCCTCCTCAGTAGGTAGCCAGTTTGTTTGGACTGAAATCGGAATGGGAACCTATTTTTACAACCGCTTGGTGATTCATGGGGGTGGGTGGTCCTATACCGAAGATGGAGTTCATTCCTTGTTGGTTGATGCTGATAAAGAACCCTGTTTGTCGCTATCAGGCTGTGTGAACACTAGTGCAAACATACTTTTTGTAAACCGGACGCACACAGACCGAACGATTTCTTGCTTGTAGCGACTGTATATCATGCATAACGTCGTTTGACACAATTGCCGGTACATCAGGGGATTTATGCATGCATATGCAAACACGTTCATCTATACATGATATATTTTGGGAACGTATCTCCAATGGAAGCCAAAGAGAAAGCCACCCCTCTTACTGTATTCGCCCCCTTTTTCAGATACATACACATGTAGAATGTATAGGTTTTTTTTGTTTCTCTACCTGTTGCAGGGGTAGCTTCCAGGCTCGGTTTCGATCCCGGACCGGACCGTTCCGGGCGGTTCCTCTGAGGCTCGGCGCAGTACTTGCTGCAGCCGGAGGCGGAGGAGGAGGGAGTCATCGAAGCCACCCGCCGCTTGGCTTGGCAGGGAGAGAGACACGTTAAACGCCACGTTTTGCCGCCGCGGCGTGAGGAGTTTCTGTTTTTTTTTTTGGGGGGGGATCAGATTGGGTGACACTTACAACGTTCGCACTGCTTTCGCCAAACCAGAGCTACATTCCTTTTTTCGGTGGTGTTAAGCAGGGTAAGGGGCGAGTCAGGAAACAAAGCCAGGAAACAGGTTGGACAAAGTCAGGAAATGGGTTGGTCCAAGTCAGGAAACAGGTTGGACCGTGTCAAGAACTATGTAGATGTGGCTTGACGGTTTCGTGAGTCAGGAAGCAGCCGTGTGCCAGGAAACGGCCTTGGAAACAACAGGAAGAACGCGTGGGAGTTGAAAAGTTTGGAGTCAAGCGAATGAGGCTTCGTGAGTCAGGAAACATCGGTGTGTCAGGAAACGACGTGGAAACCACAGGAACAATGCGGCGGGGCGTTGTGAAAAGTTGGAGTCAACTGAATAAGGCTTCGTGAGTCAGGAAGCAGGAACGGAGCTCTCAAAAATTTGGAGTCAAGTGAATACGGTTTCGTGAGTCAGGAAACAGCGGAGAGTCGGGAAACGAAGTGGGAACGACAGGAACACCGCGTGGGGGAGTTGTGAGAACTTTGGAGTCAAGTGAATAAGGTTTCGTGAGTCAGGAAACAGCGGTGAGTCCGGAATCGACGTGGAAACGACAGGAACAGTGCGTCGGGGTGGTGTTAGGGCCATTGCTCGGCTTCCCCGCTACGTGATACGGCCGTTGTTCGGCTTCGTGATCCCTGTTTGTAATCGCGAGTTTTCTCCATTACTGTCTTTAGTTTGTTTTCTAGATATAGACGCTAAAAACCTGAGCCCTACAAGCCTAAACCCAACCCCAAGAACCCCAAACCTAAACCCTCAGAACCCTGAGCCTGAAACCTAAAAACCGTAAGCCCTAAACCGAGACCCTAAAAGAAACGCAAGGCTGTTCCTTGATCTGGGCCAAGACGATATCAAGGAACAATGCACAAAGCAAACGGCAACGCAAAGCACGCAGTGGCTTCTGCATCCCCCATGCAGTACGGCCAGCATCACCCATGCCACCCCATGTCTCCCCTCTCTCCTGATTCGAACAGCTTTGCACGCCAGGTTGTTCCTTCATCCGAGCCATGACGATATCAAGGAACAATGCACCAAGCGCCCAGCAGAGCCCAAAGTAAGCACTCAGTACAAACCTTGCATTCCCAGCATCACCGCAAATTCAAAGGCACTGGCCACATGATTCACGTTTCCGCGTTTCCTGACTCCTGATCTTAATCTTTATCACTTTTGTTTCTTGATTTGCCTCTGGTTGTTTCTTGACTCGCCCCTGCATTTCCTGACTCATGTTTCCTGGCACGGTCACTTGTTTCCTGACTCGGTCTAGTCTCGTGTCAAGCATGGCCTTTTGAGTTTAGTCAGGATCTTAGGAGTAACCTATTAATCGGCTCGCACCTTCGAGCAACGGCTTGGAGCCTCCATTTTAGATGGCTTGAAGGTCTGCCCGCATAGTTCCCCGTTACAAATCCAATGGCTTGCAGAGCTCTACATTCCAGCTTTTGGTAGACGATGAACCCCTAGCAATGGTCATACTTCGCGTCCTGCCGGGACGAATTCCAGTCAACATTTGCGTTGGCTGACTCACGTTCCAGATTGCACGCATGCAACGTCGAAATTACAAGACGGACATGCCCCGTTCCTGTTCATCTATCTAAATGAGCCGCATAGTATATGAGGCGCGGTTAGAACTAATGCACAGGCGTGGTTGATTGAAGGGGACTTCTACGTTAAGGGGGATTTCTAGACGCTTGGTTCTGACAGCAAAGGACACTCTTTTCATTTCGACTCCCTCCATCAGGACTTCCAGCTTCCAGTCGAAGGCCATATTTAGGTGGGGATTCATGTCCAACCACTTTGCAGGTGGTTGCTTCAAAGCCTGGCGGATTTTGTGTCTGACTGAGGCAACTACGCCATCATCCGCACGGGCCGGGCGAGTCCCAAGTGCGCTGGGTGGTCGAGTTCTTCATGATTGCTTTACTATCCTCGTTCATTGGCTCAGGTACCCCCGAATGGGCGGCTTGGATTGGTGGCAGTTCCCTTTGAATCGAAACCAATTGGGGAAGGAACCCCCTCTGACCTCCAACCACCAGTCTTAGGTGAGCGGCGCTTCCTTTCATATGTTAATCGTTTTGCCCGTTTTGCCAGGTTTGACAAGGTTGCCTCTAATATAAGCAGCTACCAGCACATCGATGGTTCCGTTTTTGTTTCCCTCGACTCGCCAGCAAGCCGCTGACAAGGCGCAAGATGCGAGACGCAATCCAATGCAATGGTGACAAGCGCGCATGTCATTGGCGCAAGCTGCACAAGACTTGATCTGTGGATTGCTGGTTCTCGAGGCTGGAGGCTCTCTTTTTGTGCGGCTGATCTTTGGTGTGACTTTGACGACCCTTTAGGATGCAAAGGCTCAGGCTGAGCGGCTCAGGTCCTTAGATCTTGCGAGGTGTGCCACAGAGGGACCGGGTTTCGATCTTTGGAGCCCGACAGGATGGGCAATCCACCCTGTTTAGGCTGCCTACAGTCTCGTTTTTCAGAAAGTTGGAACCTTGATTGTGTGACCAATGCTTGAGATGGGGGAAATACATTGGAGCCCTGTTTCTTGTAGGCCAATCGAAAATGACTAGTTCTCCGGGCCAGAGGGCAATCTGCGCGAGTCAGAGACCGATTTGGACCATGCAAATCTCGCTCAGGTTCCTCTACCTTTCCGGGAGTTTCTACATTGTCACAAGCAAATGACATCAAACGTTCATTTCATGGCGCCCGAGTCAGTTTATACAGGGCGACTTTGTCAGATTCGAGTTGGTTCCTCTTCAAGGCCTTAAGCGCTGTGGGCCTTTGGTTTCCTCCGGGATTGTAAGCCAAACCAGGCAAAGGAGCATTTCGAAGCCGGGCTTTTCCCGCAATCCATTTGAAGCTTCTCTTTCCTCAGTCAAAGCCAGCCTTTGAGCCTTTTGCTTTTGGTCCATGTTTCGTCACCTTCCCCTGGCCAATCCAGCCCCTCGGGCTCGCCCGGTCCTTCGGCCTTCTGCCTTCGGCCTTCGGCTTTGGGCTCGCGGGTGTCGGCTCGCTCGGGACGGACTTAGGTTTGCCTTTCAACTCCTTCAGCTTGCTGTTGACTTGTTTTACTTCCACTGTTTGCTCCTTGGATAGGGCACTGGCTGGAACGTGCCGCTTGCTCTTTGCATGGAAGAATTATGCATTCCCCCCCCCTACGCACACACACACACACATCCTTTTGACGCACGTTGTTCAACTCACTTGTCCGAAGAATACCACAATGTCATCTATGTTGATATATGGAAGTTTACACGGAGCATCAATCCTTGAATTTCAGATCCTTGGAGTCTTGATGACCCTCGGGGTAAGGTATCCAACATCGAGGCTATTGACCTCTTTTGTCAGCGGTCTTTCAGAGACCAACGGGAAGTGTGCCAAAAAATGGAACGCCTCCAACAGAGGTGTTGAAAGGCAAACCAAAGGTGAAGCCGAGTATTTTGGGTGTCTTGGAGACCCCAGGCAAGCGCGCCAGCCACGGTAGAGGTACTTGTACAAGCGCATGACTGCCCGAATTGTGCCTCGGCGGCCTACAAGAGATGCGGAGGGTTTTGAGTTCTGCCTTGGCTGGGCTGATTGCTTTCAACTTGTTTGGGAAAACTAAACTAAAGGTTCTATGGCCAGGGGCATTCAAGTCAGAAAACCGTATCCATGTGTGTTCATCCGACACCGCGCGCGGAATGAGTTTGCTGCCTTGCTTTGGAAGCTATGCTATCCAAAAAGATAAAGCCATTTGGCTCTCGCGTGTTTTGAAGGGCGTCTTCTAATTGAGGAGCACCCCAGACCCCTGTTGGCCGCTGTGTGAGGATCTGCCCTGCTAAGTTGTAAGAAGCTTTGCTGTTTATCAGCACAGGTCCTCGTCTCCACATGATTTTTCAACGTGTTCAACTGTCTTGGTAGAACCAGTCACCACTGCTCAATTTGTCTCAAACCGCACGAACATTTGATTGAGAGTTTGGTGCACACGGTGACACGACCGGCTGTACAGCGGGCTGCTTGACGCCGCTGGCTGACTCCTTTTCATAATTCCATCCGCAGATTGCGATACAGACCATCTTCCCGAAACGCAGCTTGTGCACGTAGGGGACCCGCAGACTTCTTGGGGTCCCACAAAGCCCAAGTCATTATTTTCCACGGCAGAGGAGACAGCCTGAATTGAGTGATCCACATGGATCCCCGCAAACACCACCCTCTTTGAGGTCGCACTTGCATTTGCCATGTGCTTTTGTAGGGGAATTCTTGTAAAAGGCATCCTTCGGAGTTGGATCCCATGCCTGGCCATTTTTCGGAGCCTAAGGAGTCGAAGGACCACTGGAAGAACTTCCTCTCGCTGATCAAGTTCTCCCACGTGCCCTACGGATGCGGCGCATCTCGATCGCAGATCGCAGGCGGCGCTTTGGACCCTTGGGGTTCCTTAGGAAAATCTAATGTGTTAAAACATGTGCCTTCACCTCGCCCCATATCCTCAGAAGATTACCCCCAAAGATATACACACTAGAGCTTGGAGGGCGTTTGTTCCCCGTGTCTTTGTCCCGCCTTATCTTTCGCTGTTTGTTAAAGCTTCATTTGCTTTTGTGTTTGCTCTTGTTATTTATGTGTGTCTTGTGTTTTCTTTATCTTTAGCTTTCTTTTTCTCAGCGTGTGTATTTATATTTATATTGTTTGATTCAAACTTATATATATATATATACATATGTTTATCGTTCTCCTGCTTGTTCTCTGTATTTTATCCTTATCATTTTCTTGCCCTTGATGTTTGTGTTAATTTCAATATGTTGATATGTCTATCGTTTATATGTTCACTGTATTTGTCTATATTTGTGTGTTTGTGTTTTTGTATCCTTATTTTCCTCTTTCTCTTTTACTTGCCCGTTCCCTTTCTCTTTTTCTTGCCCTTTCCAATTATCTTTTTGTTGCTTTTCTCTTTGCCTCTCTCTAGCTCTCTATCCCTGTCTCTTTTTCTCTTTCCCCGCCTGCGAAAGGGACAATCGCAAGACAAATAGAGAGAGTTGTTCGAAGTCGAACTCTCCGAATGTCCGCGATCAAAGTGAAACCGCACAACAGAACTACGTTTTGTTACAGTCGACCCACGGAAAGTCCGCACGAGCGTTCACCGACGGTACTTGCGCAGGCTGAGCAATGTATAATCAACACGAGTTCTTTAAGGCCGACCCGCCCAAAGTGCGCAGAGGGTTCACTGATTGAAGGCTGCGAAGCAGTCCCATCTTTGCATCCGCTCCGAGACCGCCTCAGTCAGATGGCGCAACTGAGGCGGTTTGCGCACATGTGCAAGAGCCCAAGCTTTAAAAGGCTTTGTCACGCGCGGTGCTTCTATTCTTAAACATCACGCGCAGGCACATGCATTCTTACTGAGAGCTCAATCAGTTCCAGTCCTCCGCAAGTTCTTGTTGAACTTCGTTTGATTCCCATGTTTTGCTTTTTCCGTTCGGTCTCTAATCGGCGGTTCCCTTTACCTCAATGGAATGGGCCACCTTCCGCCAAGGTGTGGCCTGCGCTGTTTACCCTCGCCAGCAAGGGGGAGTGGCCCAATGGCGGGGAGCTGGACATGTTGGAATACGCCCGGCCCCCGGAAAACGGCTTGGGCCGAGATTCGGCGTGTCAATCCCTGGAAACGGCGCGCCTGCCTTTTTTGGTGGGGGAGTGGTCAAGGGATTTTGGCCATGCTGAAAATCACATGTTCCAGCAGGATTAGCAGCTGAATTCGGATGAACCCCTTGCGAATCGGTGATTTTGCAATGCTTTGTGACCCCTGGCAGGTCGAGGTGTGCTAAGGTCTTTTGCGATGTGTCAGAATGGGCCCTCGGGCATATTTGTTTTGATCCGTCCTCCCTCCAGCGGGAGGGAGGCTTGTTTGCTCTTTGGTTCGGCCAACCAGCATGACGTTAGCTTTTGGAAAATCACTGTTTGAAGGCTGGCAACTGGCAAGCAGTGTGACTTTGCATCACGTCAGAGAGAAAAGCCGGGGTTCCAGACGCTCAAAGGATGAGTTGTTCGAGCGCTTGGAATAAGTGGCTTGGACTTGGGATAGTGTTGCTTGTGGGCCAAGGCTTGCCAAGGTCAGGGATTGAGCTTGTTCAGGCTAGCTCAACGGGCTTACTTGTTTGAGGCCTTGGAACGGGAGTAGGTACTGGTTCTTGTTACAAACCCACAGAACAATTTGTCCATGCGGTTGGTTCGCGGGAGAGCTGCGGTCTATCTTGCATGAATTATAGAGCTCGCCTCGGGGCAACCCGCTCACTCTTGGTCAAGGGCTTTTAGCTCTGCTACCTGCTACGGTACGTGCTCTTGTTGACGTGTGAGTGTGCCGAAAAAGACTGATATGTATGCCAACCAACTGTAGGCTTCCTTGGTTGTCCCTTTCAATTAAACCAACATGAGTGCTAAAAACAAGCCCCTTTGCCACTTTCCCATTTGCCTTTTCCAGCGAAAGATTACCGGAGTCATTTCTCCAAGGGTGTCCGGTTTTGTGGGGCGTGTGCTCAAAAGAAGGTCCCTCATGCACATTCAGCCTGCAACTCTTACAGGCCTGTAAGGAGCTGCAAGTAATACCCGTGGTGATCAACTGGACACGCTCAAAGATTACTGACGACATGAGTATGCGTCATGAGTAAAACTGCTTTACCATTCTCGAACCAGACGGGGCTTTTCAAGAAGAATCGGATCTAACAGGTTTCCTCCTTCTGGTACAAGGAAACTCCAAAGGTAGCCAACCATGTTTGTGGTCTTGTAGCTTACTTTGTTTTCTTGCTTGCTGGCTGGCTGGCTGGTTTGTTGGTTGGTTGGTTGGTAGGTTGGGGTGGCGTGCGTGCGTGCTTGCGTGCTTGCTTGCTTGCTTGCTTGCTTGCTTGGTTGGATGGTTGGTTGGTTGGTTTGTTGGTTGGTTGGTTTGTTGGTTGGTTGGTTGTTTGTGTGTTTGTGTGTTTGTGTGTTTGTGTGTTTGCTTGTTTGCTTGTTTGCTTGTTTGCTTGTGTGCTTGTTGACTGGTTGTTTGTGTTGGGCTTGTTGTTGTGTGTGATTTTGTTTGTCTGTCTGTTTGTCTGTCCGTCCGTCTGTCTGTCTGTTTGTCTGTCTGTGTGTCTGTTTGTTGCTGGCACCGCCGTCAGGAACCTGGTGTTTTTGTGCATGTCTGATGTGTTTGACATTTGTTGGGTACTTGGAGGAGTGGTAGTACTATTACACGCACGCCCAGGCGCATGTACAACCGCTGCACCCGTGCTGGCACAAGTGCTACTGAACTCGCCCACGCTCATCCATGAGCGCTGCACACATGCTGGCACAAATGATAGTACACACGCCCACGCGCATCCACGATCGCTGCATGCGTATGCCCACGTGCATCCACGACCGCTGCATGCATGCTGGCAACAAGTGGTAATACACGCCCAAGCGCGCCCACAACCGCTGCTTGCATGCTGGCACACATGATAATACACACGCCCAGGCGCATCCACGACCGCTGCACGCATGCTGGCACAAGTGTTAACACAGAGGTCCACGCCCATCCATAAATGCTGCATGCACGCTGGCAAAATAGTAACACACACGCCCGTGCGCGTTCACGACTGCTCATGCATGCTGGCACAAATGATAACCCACACGCCCACGCGCATCCACGACCGCAGCATGCATGCCTGTATGGACAAGTGGTAATACACGCCCACGCGCATCCACTACCTCTGCAAGCATGCTGGCACAAGTGATAAATCCAAACCCCACAAGCTTCCAGACCGCTGCACGCATGCTGACACACACACACGACAATAAACACGTGGGACACATTGCCATTCAGGCGTCTTTGCCAAGTAGCCGCAGAGCCTCAACATTTGCTGAACACGATGTTCTGACAACCCACACTTGAACCTGAACAGGATGTGGATGTTGTTACATCCCACACTTGAATATCTACTAAACATGATGTTCTGACAACCCACACTTGAAACTGAACAGGATTTGGATGTTGTTACATCCCACACTTGAACATCTACTAAACACGATGTTCTCAAAACCCACACTTGAAACTGAACAGGATGTGGATGTTGTTACATCCCACACTTGAACATCTACTAAACACGAATTTCTCACAACCCACACTTGAAACTGAACAGGATGTGGATGTTGTTACATCCCACACTTGAACATCTACTAAACACGATGTTCTCACAACCCACAATTGAAACTGAACAGGATGTGGATGTTGTTACATCCCACACTTGAACATCTACTAAACACGATGTTCTCACAACCCACACTTGAAACTGAGCAAGATGTTGTCACAACCCGCACTTGAAACTGAGCAGGATGTGGATGTTGTTACATCCCACACTTGAACATCTACTAAACACGATGTTCTCACAACCCACACTTGAAACTGAACAACATGTTGTCACAACCCACGCCTGAAACTGAGCAGGATGTTGTCAAGACCTACAGCTTTTGAACCTTTACTGATTGATGTTGACCTTTTTAGCCGCCGCGACACAAACTTATCTAAAGCAAATTAGCTCGTTGAAGTTCTATTTGAGTAGGAGTTTTGCTAGAATCTGCTGAATTCGTTGGCCAGCGCAGTGAATTGTAAAGAACAGGGCTTGTTTCGTGCCTGGCGACTCGCGCGGGTGTCACCTGTTTGTGTGTTTGTTTGATGGCTTGTTTGTTTGTTTGTTTGTTTGTTTGTTTGTTTTGTTTGTTTGTTTGTTTGTTTGTTTGATGGCTTCTTTGCTTGTTTGTTTGATGGTTTGTTTGTTTGTTTGTTTGTTTGTTTGCTTGTTTTCTTGCTTGCTTGCTTCCTTGATTGCCTGCCTGCTTGTTTGTTTGTTTGTTTATGTGTTTGCTCGTTCGTACATTTGTTTGCTTGCTTGCTTGCGTGCTTGTTTGCTTGCTTGCTTGTTTGTGTGTTTGTTTGTTCATGCGGTTGTGTATTTGATTGATTGTTGTTTTTTTGTTTGTCGACTTGGTTGTTTCTTAGTTTCTGTCTGCTTTTAATGTTTGTACGTTTGTTGCTTTGTTTGCTTGATTGCTTGCTTTCTTGGTTAGCTTCCTTTGGTTTGGTGTGGTTTTTCGTGTTTGTTTGTTTTGGTTTGCTCGTTGGATGTTTGCTTGTGTGTGGTTGTGTGTTTGCTTGTCTGTGCTATTTCTTGACGTTTTTTTTTTTTTTTCTTCTTCTGTTTGTTTGTTTGTTTGTCCGTTTGTTGCTTGCTTCTTTCTTTGTACGGCCATGCGCGTGTGTTTGTCTGTGTGTTTGTCTGTTTGTCCTGTCTTCCTGTCTTTTGACTGTGGGGCGTGTGTGTTGTTGCTGTGCCCTTTTGTAATTGGGGCCAACCAGAGCTGCGAAGTTTGGGAGCTTCCAATGGTTTCTCCTGAAGCTTTGGCCAATGTTTGGATAGTTTTTTGGTGGGAGAATGCAAATGGAAACCAAACGGCCATGGCATTGGGGACCCTGGTGCTCACAATCCCATACTGTTGTTGCCGTGTTGTTGTCGTTATTTGCTTCTTCATGTTTTTTGAGCGGCCCCGGGCTTGAGGTGAACATGGATGTGTCAAAGGCTCGGAGTCGTTTCAGAAGCCGGTCGTGGTGCTTTGGGCGTATTTGGGTCATATTGAGGTGATTCACCAACTATGAATGGGGCATACGCGCTCATACTTATATAGGTATGCAGCAACATGTTCATAGATATGTACGTAGGCATAGGTGCTCTTCGTTGCTTCCTCAATCTAACCTCATTTATTTGAACCCCCTGCGCAAAAGCCCTCTTTAGTCATGAATCATGGAAGGACTCCTTATCTGCATTGGGGGAGTAGGAATTAGGGGTCCACATCATGAGCTAAGGAACCTTTGCAGCACGAGCCAGACATCCAAATGGGTGTGAAACAGGGTGCCCGCCAACTCTTCCCCTACACATCCGCCTGCGAAGCTGAAATGGCACTTTCATTGCCATAGTTTGCTTACCTTCTCGGTGTGTTTTGTTCACAATTTGGTTATTTTCATAGTTTGGGTGTGTCTTGTTTTAACCCCCCCAGAAGAAAAAGGCTTGGTGTCTCTTGGGTTCCCTTGAAAAAACAAACCAAAAGGGTATTTAGTAGTTACCCCGCAAGAGAAAATACCCATTTTCCATTCCAACAATTTGTCCTTCCAACCAGTGAGCAGTCCTCTGTTTGCAGGTCTCAGTTTGGGGCATCGTTTTGGCCTCCGTTTTCCTTAGTGAAAGGACGCCCAACCCGCAAGCGCGGGCTCAGCTGGTGTCTTACCAGCCTCCCGGGAGTTTCTTGGGTGCCCAGAGATGTGTCTGGGTTCAATTTGTATGGGTACGTGTCAGAATAGGGGGCCCCAAGAATATTTCCAGCAAACCAGGCTGAAGAGGGTGGTTGTTTCCAGTGGGGCAAAAGCATGGTTGATCAAGCAAGCTGTTGCTTTTCCGCATCAGGCATAGTAGGTACCCGGTTTTGGAAGGGTGGTTCAAAGACAATCTCCAAAAGTGTTGCTTGTGTTTTTCGGATTCCGGATTAGAGCTTGCAAACCTCCATTTTGCACAGCCAAGGTTGGATAGCCTACATCTTGGCCCTTGATGGCCCTTGATGCCGCTGAACTTTGTTTTGCAAGCCGTTGATTCAGCACCCCTTCGGTGTGACCTTTAGCCTTCACAGGAATTTGACCTCAGCTGTATAGGGTGTCCACGCAAACCCTGTCCCATGGGAACATGAGGCGCCGACATGCCTGTGTCCAAGAAGGGAAGTGGATAAGGGGCCTTTTCAAGACAATCGTCCTCCTGTCCACCATGATTGGTTGAAAAAGGGTGTATACAACTACTATGAATTATATGCACACATCAGTCTACACCCCTTGTACGTGTTGTTTCCCGTCTGATTGCCCTGTTGGTTTTGGACCACGCAAGGCCTCATTCCACACGGGCGGCTCGTGCCAATTGGCGCCCCACGTGGTCAACGAGTTGGGCTCCTTCCCGGACAGGCGCGGGACGCGTTTCGACGGACAAACTCCGCCGGGGGATCCAGGAATCCGCCGGGGCGAGCTGAGACATGTTCCAGATACTGTAAGGGCTGAAGTAATTTGTATGGGTCTGTGTGTGTGGGACTGTATGCCAAAAGGCAGTCATGATCATATATGTGAAGCATGTGTGCGTAATCATTTCACCTCTTCATTTCACGGGAATTGGTGGCCTTTCTGTGGGTGTCATGCAGGTGATGTTCACCGAAGCATGTTTGAGGTCTCCAACCATCCAATTCATAGCAAGGTAAAACGCGCTTTTTTGTTACTCTTCTATACGTTGTATTCAGGTTTGGAATGTTGCTTGGGGCACCCCAAGGGCATGTACTGGTTTCCCTACTCCAAAGAGTGCCCTAAGCACAGGCAATTGGGGGTTCCAAACCTCGGCTTGCGGAAAATCCCGCGTTGCAGCTTCCCCGAAATCCGCTTAGTATGCCCTGTGAAGCGAGCAACACAGGCCGGTATATGAATGACGGCTAAGAGACAGCCCGACATATCCGCCGCATGTGGTTTTGGGTGGACCCCTATCGTGTTGATTGTCAAGAGTTGACCTGAAAGTGTCATGGAAAAGGTGAAAGGGAGGTACTTCCCGGAGTTGATCGAAGCGTTCATCCAAGTTGCAAAGATGCTTTTGGCGGTTTCGGGCACCCAAGAAGCCAAAGGCAGCTTTGTCAGCGCACGGAACTGGGCTGCGGGGGGGGCGTCCCCACAAGAACTGCTGCTTCCATTTTGTGCTCTCGTGTTAGACAGAAAAAAGCATTCAAGTTCTGGAAAATGGCACGGTTGTCCCACTAAAAGATGTCAGCTTTCTTTGCAGGGGGTCAGCGAACCGAGGTCAGCCAACTGAGGTTCGCCAAGTGGATACCCATTCTTTACTGGATGGTGGCCTCTTTACATCGTGCAAATTTACCCTCGAACATTTGGAATTGTGTGCTGAAGGTCAGAGAGCTCTCAACTTCCTCGCAACTTGAAGACGGGATCGATATTGTTTGACTTTCCAGACTGGTTGGCCTGTGTTAGAATTGGAACCAAAGAGACGCTTCCAATGGTTGGCTTCATCTTGGCGGCCCCCCTTTGAAATTGTCCCCTCGTTTTGCTTGGGGCAATGATTGGAGATCCAACACGAAGGGTTCCTTCCGGTTCGGGCCGGAATCCTGTGAGAACTCCCCCCGAGTCATGAATCGGAAGGCCGGGTTTTCCAGAAATTCAGCGACGGCCTCAAACCATGGAGAGGAGTTGTTTATCAGGGACTGCCTTGAAAATCACTTGCAGGCTTCACAGGCACGCCCTGACATGACCTTGAGGTGTTCTGCATTAGCTCATTCAAGTTAGCCCAAAACAATGCTGGTGCGAATTGGCGGCTTAGGACAACAATCTCTTGAAACCAAGTGGAGGCACCCCTGGAACCACTCCGAACCGGGCAACAAACCACTTGGGGTGAAGGCGATCATTACTCAACGCCCGAGAGTTGGAGCATTTCTGGAACTTTGCACTTCCCTCTTTTGGTGTTTCATCAACACCCAATACAAAAAAAGTCACAACACCCAGCCCCATGTGTTTGTTCCTTTAATTTTAATACACCACGATGCTGACGTCTTCTGCTTTTAGGGCATGTTGAAAGATTGATGATACTGATGATAGGGATGCGGTTCCACCACGTGCCGCGTTGTCACTGGTTCCCGGATGGAAGGAACGACATGAATTACGACTGCGTGACCGATTACCCGGACAGGTGCAGTTGTTGTCGTGGTTGTGGAACTTCCAAGTTTGAGTCCTCTTTCAAGTGGCTCGGAATCTCAATAGGGAACCTTCTCAAACATAGCTGGTGGACACACATTTGCATGCAAACGTCCACCAAAAGGTCCCAAATTCATTGGGTGACACTTTCTTGTCATTGGCATGGTAGTTGTGCGGTTGTCGGAGTCATGGCTCTCGGGAGAGGCAAGGGATAACGTGATGACCCTCTAGCATCTGAACTCATTTCGTCAATTCAGTCTGTTTGGGAAGTGTCCCTGCACGGTGCACATCGACCGAGACACCACCTTGATCGTTTTCTGTGTGTTTGGTAAGTGTTCCGTGAAGATCGAGCAAGATTCCATTGGCTTCCTGCTTTGTTTGCAATTCTTCTACTGGATGGACAGTCCTTTGCAGTGTGTGCGTGTGTGCTCTTGTGTTTTTTGCTTGAAGCTTGGGCGGCAGGTGTGCGTAACACGCAGTTGTTGTTTGCGTTTTGCGTCATAAGCCGAGAGAAACGTGGAAGAGGTCGTTCCGAACTCCCCAATGGCCTGGAATTGGCGCACATTGCGCTCACACGCCAGGACTCCGCAGGTTCCCACATGGATATCCTTTTTGTAACATGGAAGTGGACAGTCTTCCAACACCCCTTTTTGCACTTCCGGGATTGTTGAAAAGAAATGATTCCTTCCCCCTAATTTTAACCCCCCTCCCCAAAATATATATATATATATATGTTATTTTATCCCGCCAAAAACACATATGTTTATGTTTGAGACTTTTTGTTGCTTGGTGGACGTCACCCCGGAATCAGGGCAGCGGAGTCAGGAGGATTGCAAAAAAAAGCGTCCCCTAAAGCAATTTCTAAATAGCAAATGTGTATTCCAACTAATCCGCTCCCCAAAAAATAAACCCGAACCCCCCTAATAATAACTACTCTCTGGGGGACAAAGCATATTTATTCATGGGGTCCTCGACCGGATTTTCTCTTCGGTTCTCGTGACCTGTGTCCCCCCCTTCCCGCACACGAAAAACCTCAAAACAGAAATTTTCCTAGTAACGAATTTAACTAGAACCGTGCAAGTTTTTTTCCTTCTCGTTTTTGCGGTTCAAAAGTAAAGGGCGCAGTTTAAACTTAGAATAACAATTCAAGCAATACATATAAATTGGTAAAAGGCAAGTATGCAATTAGAATTTGGTATCGGCTTGGAGCAAGGAGGCCCCCCAAATAAGGCTGGGGCTGGTCTGGGCGGAGACATCGGACAGTTTAGTATGGGTTTTGAATTGTGCTATTCTAAAAGTAGTACTGGGGACCCGGCTGTGTCAGCCCGTCTGAAAAAAAGAGCAAATATTAATAGGGTCCATTTATTAGAAGGGGGAACGGATTACCTAGTTTCGGGTTCTGTTGTTTCAAAATTCTGGGGAAAGGATCGGGGACCCCTAGTCCGGCTGGAGTTGGGGTGACATGGGAAAATCGCCAGGGTAGCACTGGTGTAGGATTTGCCTATGCTAAGTTTTCAGTGTTCCCGGACCTGGATTTTCCTTTCTCGTCAAGCAGAAAGGACGACTTCAAAAGCTGGGGACAACGCTCAGAGTTTTCTCGGACACCTCCATGGAGGTTTCGGGATCGGTGTCGCTAACCTTGCAGCAACTTAATGAACACCGTATACGCCGTACACCCTCCCAAAACCTCCTGGCTTTAAGTAAACCTCCAGACCACCCCTGAACCATGCCTGAACAAGCCCAGCGCACCTTAAACCCACAAACGTTCGAAACACGAGAACACGGGGCGTACTTAGCTGGGCGCTCAAAAGAGAATGTTCAGTTCTCCCCAAAAGTATTCCAAACCCCAGACCCAACCCAGGCAAAGCCGTTGATTTTCAGAGAGTGCGATGCTTTCTTTTGGAAAGTTGACAGACCACCCCCCCCCCCCCAGAAGTTCTTCTGCATGTGACACCCAGTTGGTCTTGCCGTCCGTTAGGCTCGGCTGCGCGCCCAACAAGTGGATGAAGAGCTCAGAGGATTGGGCCCACAGCCCCGGCCACTTGGGCGAACTGTGACATCTGCAACACCATTGGACTGGGGAAACGGTTGGCCCTAGGCCCCTGGTCATCTGGTGACACACCCAATGTTCTCTCTAGGCCCTCCCCTGGTGAAGAAAGGGGCCATTTCCGATATTGGTCTGTCATTTTTTGGACGCGTTCCCCTTTCTGGTGGCTTTTCCTTGAAAGCCAACAGCACACCCATATTTCCGATTTTAAGCATCACCCCGAATGGACATCACGTGAAAGCAGATGTCGAAATTGACCCGAAGGGGACCCTGTCAATTGTGCTGAGGCATCGTTGCTACGCAGTGGACTGACGACTTCATCAAGTGTCTTTGCTCAGATGTGTCGAATTGCCAAACAACTCTCAAAACGAGGTGACTTTCGCAGCGTTTTTTTCTTTTTTTGTTCTTTTCCTGCTCTATGAGGGCACCTTGGTCTGTGTCAATGTTGGGTACTATTTTCGCCGTTGACCTTGACTCAAATGAAAATGGAAGAAATATGTTAATTTTATAGGCACGAACATTGACTAAGTAGTAAGCATAGGGCTTTCGAAGATTGCACTTTGGTGTGACTGGCTTGTGATCATTACAGTATTTTTTTCCAAGGCGAGAAGCAGGCTGTGATCATATACCTGCTGTCTTCGCAAGCATCGTTTCAAGTGGGTTGTCCAAGGTTTGGACGCAGGCAAACGTGCTCTAGGTGCGTTCGAGGTAGAAGGCGAGCGGCTTTGCAAAGAGGTCAGAGGAGAATGATGTACATACTAGGTTGGATGAGGGTGAGAAAGACAAAGCGGTTGGTGCAGTAGGTCAGAGGCGAGGTACGTGTCGGGGTTCGCAGCTCCCAGACACCCTAGAGGGTCACTTCTCAAGACCATTATGAGCCTATGGGTAGGTATCAAAATAGGGGAAATTCAAAATATGGTGGGGTTCCTTGTGGCATCCTTTGTATCCCACTCGACGAAGAGTCAAGAAAAAAGCGGTCCTATTTGTCATGAGAGCTTCTATGTGGCAAGCGGAATAGTTTGGGGATGGCAACCGGCAAGGTGCATGTGTATTGCCTTTCTTGGCTTAGCTGTTCAACGTGAGGGCCTGACTTTGGGAGCCGAGGCTTTTCTACATTCCTGAGGCGGAGATTCCCCAGGACGGGGGCCTTTGGGAGTGAACCAGAGTAATGTTGGACCTCCTTTATTAATAGTACTCTCTAGTGTGGACACTTTTTTTCTAAGTCAGAATCCTGTGACTGTTTTAGGGGTTCTTTGTTGCGGAAAGCTTTTTGCCGGAAACAACGCTGGGAAAAATGTGGGCAGAACACGTGGCAAACAAGTCGGGCAAAAAAACAGACAACCAATTCCTGGCCAACATTGGGAAATTGTTTTCTTGAAGTGGTCCCCAAGCCATCAATCTTTACAAAAAGGTGCGGGCAAACAGTCACACAAAGGGGGGTGCCCACAAGAGGCCCAGATCCTCTTTACTGCGATTGTTTTGGGGTCCTCTTTAGTGTCCAGCTGGTTTCGGCGTTGCTGAAAACTGAAATCCAAAGCCTCAGCCTTTTACTTTTAAACAAGGGGACTCATCCTAAGCTCTCCCCAGCTCAAAGGTTAAAGGCCTGAGATCTAGGAAATCGATTTTGCAGGTTGTTCCCAATCCATCAAATTTAAGATAACTTCTTTACACAAAAGTGCGGGCAAACAGTAGCACAAAGGGGGGTGCCCACAAGATGCCCAGAGCCTCTTTAATGCGACTGTTTTGGTGTTTTGGGGTCCTCTTTAGTGTCCAACTGGTTTTGGGGGTTGCTGAAAAAAACAACCCTTGGTAATACTAAAGTAGAATTGGCAATACTTATAAAGTATGCACTGGGGATCTGAGAGGGAGCTTTGGCAATACTAAAGTCCTCCCGGACTGCCAGGATCTCACTAAAGAGAGTCCCGCCGACTGGTTCCACTGTTCCAGGGGGGGGGGTTCACTAAAGAGAGTCCAACATGACCCATGTTGCATGCCAACTAAACCGGGCGCTGCGTGTTTTGAGGCAACCCTTCGTTGCGGCCAATCGAAAGGAAACCAGCCATTTGGGGGGTAAACAAATTGTGGGAGATGGCTTTGGGGGCGCCCTTTTGTCTTGGGAAAATGGGCACAACCCCGGGCAAGCCACGAAAATGCGGGAGTGGATGTTTTTGTTTTTTTTTGCGGAACATATATTTTTGTTGAAATACAGTAACAGAAGCTGTATATAATGAAGTTGGGTAGAAAAGTGAACTCTCACCAAAGTTTTGGGGATTCCTCTTTGGCTTCTCTTTGAAACAACACCAGCACCTGCCCGCTTCTTATCCCCGCTCTCCTCCGAGTTCAACATCAGTGCGCAGGGACGAGTCACCCGGATAAGTCAGGGTCCGTTAAAGCGGTTGATGTCCCCAACAAGAGGGAACCTTTGGGTTTTGGTTTATCCTTGGAGTGCATTTGGGCCAGCCGAGAAAGCACACACATACCAGGTGACAAAGGATGCAGATCCTTGTACAGTAAAAGGTTGCGAACACAGTTTAAGCAACCCTGCAAGTGGTAGAAAGAGTCACGGGCACGAATGTTCGACGCAGGAGACGGTTGGGACCTTTCAGTTTTGGGACTCTGCTTTTGTTTGGTGATGCCAACTGATTCCTCTTGAAAGGTTTTAACATAGTCAGAGCAGCCTGCTCTCACAGAAGGTGATTTCCACTGACTTGCCCACAACCAACATATTCACCGTTTGGTTTTACACTGCTTTGTGTTTTGTCTAGGTCCCAAAAGGTTCACCAGTTCTTTGCATTGTCCGGCAGCAGCTCCTAGGACATCAAAGATGAGAAGCCAGAGCCGACGAGCGTGGCCTGGAAGCACCGAGTTCCGGGAATCCGCTTCTCACTCAGTTTCTGGACCTTGGGTTTCGGGGGAATGTAATTTTCGTGGTAAAGTCCTGACTTGTTTGACCAATCCACTCTGGAAAGTAGCGGGTGCCGAAGCGTGTCGATGCCAGGAAGCCTTTTTGGTACGCTTGGGAAGCAACCCAACATGTAGTGAAGCATGGGGAGGAGTCCTTGCCCAAGTAAGCAAAGATCGCAAATGGACGGGGCACTTGTGCAAGTTTGAACTCCTTGCATCAGCGTCAGCACTTCTTCCAGAGAGTTGCCGGGTTGGTTTCTTGTTGGTCAACCAAACATGTTTAGATTGCTCCTCTCATGGTTTATGACAAGAACCCTGCAGATGGTTTCATTTTAAGGTTCTCTTGAAAAGGCACCGATTGCGGAGAGAGGGCTTGTTTTCTCTAGATCTCCAGTTTTCAGGTGACCTGACCAAGGTGATTTTGTGAGACGGCAATGACGCAAGCGAGAGAGGGAGCAAAAAGCAGCCGGGCATTCATCACGTAGACCTTGTAGTAAGCACCCAAGATGCACAACGTTTATGGCTGGTAGGGCTGTATGGAATGGCGACCATTGATTGTTGGGGCCTTTCCCAAAATTTGCTTGGACCCAGTGTTCCCAGATTCTGGCTAAACTCTGCCTGCAACACGTTTAACAGGTCCTTTTTCTATTTCATTGCAATGGGCCTGTCTTTTGGAGAACAGTTGTTTTCTGCATTTTACAGCAATCCCGCAAAGCATGCCACACAAAAGCATCTAATGCCCTCGAGCATTTGGCGTGCTAAGCATACAACGAAACACAAAGTTCCAAAACCAACATACCGACAAGCACACACATCCATTACAGTCCCAACAACAGTGACACCGTATGGACAACATCCAACAAAACCAAATGCGCATACAGAAAGCAGAAACAACAAACAGAACACATACCAATCAGCAGGAATACATCAAAACACAACTGGCATCAGTCAGTCGGCGGAGGCTTGGGACCGCTGGCTCTTCTCCTGGTACCCGTTGGCAGGAACCTCCTGCAAGGTGGAGGCGGGCGAATTTAGCACAACCGGGGTAGAATCAACCAATTCCATTTGCTGAAATGAATATGTTATTATGTTGTTTAATTTATCCATATTTATCCTGTTGGTTTTAGAGGGAATCTATCCCTACTGGGAGTATTTGGTTTTGTTTTTCAGGGGGCTTAGGCATTTAGGTTATACATCTATGATTCGAACTGGGGTAAGCCAACTATGAAACTGAATCTCCATATATTCTTTTGTGTTTACCCCAGATTTTACGGCCTGTCAACAACCAGCTGTCTCACTGATACGTTGCTCAAGAATAACGGGTAACATAATATAGTATGGGGCTGAAAACCAGTTGACCTGATTCGGTTCGGCCTGAAGGTTCAACTTGCTTAGCCAGTCTGGAACAATGTTTGGTAGCATCTGAGGCATCTTGTCCTGACTCAATTAATGGATGCTAAATGCTAGTTTTTGGATTGCACATTGTCTCTGGCGTAGGGTATAACGACAGTTCCACATGGTTTCGACTCAGAACCCTGGTTCTACATGACGTTCTAATTAGTTCTCATTGGGTTGAACATCCCAGTAGATAACTTACTCCCTGAGTTCTCCTGGACGACCTTTTTAGTGGCAAGATCATGTTAGTGGCAAGATCAGTTGGAATGATCGCTTTGTGGCTTGCCCATTTGCACTGTTCGGAAGGTATATATGTGCCAAGGTCGAAAGACATGCTGGGGCTCGGTGGTGGTCACGCACCAGTGACAACACGGGCTTGTGTGTCTTGTCCACCGTGGCCTTCTCAGGTTGCTTTCCCTCTTTAAAGGGAAGCCAGCGGGGGGATTTAAAAAAAAAAAAAAACACGATATCCCTGTTTTGACAGCTCACTGCACAAGTCATGAGTCATACCTCGTGCTCACGGTTTTTTTGTTTTTTGTTTTTTGGTTTTTTTTTTTGTCTCGGAGGCTCAGAAGCTGATGATGCAGATCAACTTCTGTGGGGACTGGGCCGGCAAAGACGCTCCGGCTGAAAGCAGCTGAGATGGTGGCCACTATTCCCCACCTACCAAGGGAAAACACAGTACGAGGTCCGCATACATCATGTCTATCTATTCTATATGTAAAGGAATGTGAACCTGGCCTTCTGGTTGCCACCCCCAAGAGAAACCAGGATAGATATAGCCATTTGCATAGCGGCTAGTAGCCATACATCTGGGTTTCCCTCATAATTTGGGGGGTAACCTTCTATCTGTGGAAGGTCAGAACTAAACCTCTCAGTAGCATCTGAAGCAAATGAGTGTTTCCTACAATGTGAACCCCCTCAACGTGCTTGGATTCCTTGCGAAAAGCGGGGGGCACTTTGTTTGGACTCCCATGGAAGCAGGCGCACCGGACCCTTGGCGCTGTTTTCCAATATCACGGAGGGTTGCTTTGCGCTTGTGTCTCGTGATGGATCAGCCCGGGTTTTTGTCCACTTGCAACATGTTTACCAGAGGAGCCTTCTATCCAAGCTGAGAATGCTAGCTTGTACAGGCAGGGCTAGATATTCTGAATAGCCATCTTCAAGGCTCCCTGTGGCCATAGTATATCAGTTATCTATAGCCGTACAAGTGAAGCCACTACAGTTGCACCCCGTGACAGGTACACCACAGTCCTTGAACTATTGAGCCCAAAGGCTTCAGGCCTGATGTCATTTTGAGCGCCCAAAACCCCCATTGGCCGTCTCAGTAGAAGATTCTGCCTGTTTGCACACGGCTTCCTTGCTGTCATCTTAGTGAGGGTTATAGTAAGGCTCACCTCCTGAGTTCCTTGGTACTTTTCGGGAAGACCATGGTAAGTTTTAAACGCTTTGGAACTGTGGAGGTGGGCCTTACGTGGACCATGTTGGTGGCAAACACTTTGGACGCTTTCCGGGCCACTCCACTGGAGAAGTGAGAGCCGAGGTCTGGGGCGCGGGCACCCAGAGAAATTCAGAGCCAGGGAAGTGACGGGTGTTTTTTGTTTTTTGTTTTTGTGTTAAGTCACTCGTGTCACTCGGCTGCCATGTGGATGGTTGCGAAATCCATGCAACGCACCGTTCAGAATCCCTGGAATAGTGTGGTTCCGCCTGTAAATGCCAACGAACCATGGTTTCAACCGTGGATTCATTTCCTGGTGCAATGGATTTGGTCCATCCATGGTAGCTCAGCTCCCCTTATGGCTCTGAAAGGCCGCGACGGCCAAAGGGCCCCAAGGCGATGCCAAGAGTTTCTGTTTGTGTGATGCAAGCGTGACCGTATTACTGAATCAATGGCGGCTTCATTGCATTTATCCTGATCTCAGTCCAAGCAAGAGCCCCTTTGACCGATATGAAAAGGTTCTGTTGACAGCAGTTGGATAGTCGCAGCCCAACCCTGTCTTGGGTAAGGTGCATGCTGGCCAAGGTGTGTTAGTCTTCAGGAATACTGTGCATGTCCAACTGATGCAGCTTGATCTTATTGCCTGGCAGTGAGAAAAAGGGACCCCGCCAACCTTTGCCTCTAATTATCCTATGAGTAAAAGGTCGCGGCAGCTGATTCCAGCGCTCGCTATGATAAAGCTCTCCTGATGTGTACTTTACAATGAGGCTTTTTTCGGGTAGGCCTTCCAAAACTCACCTGTGCCCCTCCATGCCAAAAAGGGGACGTGACGAGAAAAAGCAATGGCCAGACCACATGTAAATAATTTCCAAGAAGCCTCGAGGGATGGATATGGGTCCTGAGATTATGTGCCGCGTTTTTCCTTGTTTTAGGTGGCATTGATCTTCAAGCGACTAGCCGGAAACGGGCCGGCATGTGGTTTTCTTGCCAAGTGGTGCTTTGCCGCATCGACTCGCGTGCCATTTGGGGTTTGCCCTATTGGCTATGTGGTTGGTGGATCTCAAGCCTCACCTAAACGATGTCCATCCAAAGGACCCCAAATCACATCATATTCAATTAGGAGACCCGTGAAATGAGGGCCTCCTGTCAGTTTTTATGTCTCAAACCGCAGAAGTCGCTCAAGGACAGGACGGGAACTGCAACTGGAGGCGAGGGCGTCGGGCTGGTGAGCAATTGCGGTGCATTTGCTGATTTTCCGTGCCCAACATGTTTTGCCCGAAAAAGAGGTTCGCAACAAAGATGTTTCTCTGCACTTTGTGCAGGTTCCATGTTGCTTCTTGGCTATATTTGTTTGGATCTGGTGATTTTGCACTGCTTTTGCTATGTGGGAGCCACCCAAAGTATTTGATCTTGCCAATCTGCATACAGTCGTACACGGAAGCACCTTGGATACTATGATACTTGTGCTTCGTTTGAAGGGGGCATCATTTCTACCTTCAACCGGTTTTGCTGACCTGCGCTGTCAAGAAAGGGGTCAGGGAGCTTGAGCTGTTGGCTTCTTCTCCGCCTTCGGGGCCAACTTCTAGTTGCTTCAGCTGGCTTGTGCCGCTGGGCTCCGGAGTGGTTTGGAGCGCCCGGCCAGGGTTCCAGTTGCCGTTGGGGAAGGCGAATCCCGAAATGGGGTCAGCCCTGAAGTCGAGGTGTTGGGAGGTTCCGCGGCTGTTCAGGATGCTGTTCGACTCCCCAAATGTACTTGGCGTCATTGCTGGCCGAAGGTCCGCCCGTATCAGGTTTGGGAAAAGTCTTTAGACTTGCTTGATTGTGGTTTGGGAAGGTCCGCCACTTGCAAGCCTGATTCTGAGAAATGTCACATCAACAGCCTGAACCAATTTGCCTGGTTAATTGCTGGCTCTGAATTCGACCCACGCCTCGGTCTTCGAACTTTCACAGCTGTCCTGGCACGCCACTGACGAGACTCAGGTCACTGGCTGGTCCGGCCACGGCGCTTCGGACTGTCACAGCTGTCCTGGCCTGGCACTAGGGAGCCTCAGGCTCTTGGTTTTTTCGGCTGTCCTGGCTGGCCCGGGTTACTGGCATGGCTCAGATCTGTTGTCTATCACAGGCTCTGCCGGCAGGCGTGGGGCGCAAATGGCGACAAGCTACGCAAATGCGATCTGTCACGGATCTCCCCAAATCCCAAACAGGCCAGAGGTTGGCGGGCGAAAGCCGGCTTGTGACAGAAGACGTGACAGACAGCTATATTGACGGAGCTTGCGACGCACAGCTGAGGTTCTGTTAGTACAGTCCGGCCGCGGCAGTTGGACGGAAACCAACCTTAAAGTGCATGTAGCACGCTACATGCTTTGGGGTTTTAGCTTTTAGTGGTTCGTGCGGCAAAACAACAAATATTGAAGCCGCAAGTTGCGCTTTTGGTGCCGAGGGAGAACTACCAATCATCACCGATGCAGATGCTACTAGTGACACCTCGCGCTATGTTTCAGTTGGTGCTACAAGAAATCATGAACGCCAGCACAGTTTTTGGTGACACCTCAAGCAAGTTGAAACTGCGTTTTCATGCTGCGCCAATCGTTTTGTGATTGGCCCATATGGTTTGATTTATTGAATTCTCCAGCCTCAAACCCACCATGACACTCCTTTCCATTCCACAGCCAACGGGCCGCGGAAAAACCGTCAGGGTGAAGGGCTGCCGCGCTGTGGATCCCTTGGCAGAGCACCTTTGGCCAACATTGGGCGCTTGTCGGCGGAACGGAAGGGTCCGTGTTTGGCACGTTTCATGTCAAGTTGCTCGGGAGGAAAGGGGAGCTCACGTTTTTTTTCTTCCTGCTTTGGTTGTGGGTTGTTTTTGTTTAGAATGAAAACCTAATATTTTCTGGGCCTGCGGCCTCTAGCCGGCTACGCCTCTTTGAAGTTATACCATGTCACATGTTTTTTGTATGAGAAACGTATCCTGTGCTATGATATGGCTGGTTTTGCATGTTGCCCACCCCAACCCCAGATGATGCTGGGGATGCCAGCTTTCTGGGCCCCAGCCGGGCCCCAACCCAGAAGGCTGACATGGGGTCGCGCGTGTGCGCCCGCACGCCAGAGGCCCCAGAAACAGCAGCCCAAAAAGCCAGCCCGGAAACGCAAATGCAACAAAACACCGTAAATAGCAGCGTTTTGTGGCTGGGGTCCCGCGCGCGCGCGCGCGCCAGAAGGCCCGAAAACCAACGCGAAAAAAGCAAGGACCGCGCAGCGCGCGAGCCAGCCACAGCAAAAGCAAACCCGACAGAACAACAGCCCAACGCTCAGCACAGAAGTTTTTGGCGGTATTTACAGCGTTTTGTAGAGCAAGGACCCAGCATCGCCGGCATGCCCGGCGCCAAAATGCGCAAAAATGAGCCTCGCTTATATCCCTCCGATACCTTCTAACAAACAGTGCTTCATGGGTTGAGAGGCTTTTTGGAAGGAAGTCTTGATGATGAAGACCAAGCCCCGCTGAAGCATCACCCAAGCCCAACCCCAGACCCCGACGATGTCAGCCACACGGCCTAAGCCCTGCATATACGCGATGATTTGCAAGGGTTTCCCAATGTTTCCCACAGGCAAGCAAAACCGCAAGCCCGAGCTGGTGATGCAGAGGTGCCGGACTTAGGCATCACGACCAAGTGGCGAGGGTCGGCGGCACCAGGGTGCAGCCCCTATAGCTAAAGCTAGCAGGCTCCCGCCTGCTGCCGCCGAGAAGGGAAAAAAATGGCAGCTCGTCCGTCAATTACCGCGTGGGCCGGTTTGCGCCCGAGCCACTTCGAGTTGGCCCGGGAGTGGTCCTAGAAACAAGGCACTGCCCCTGGGACGGGTGCCCTCGACCGGTCGCAGGCAGGGGCCGGGCCGCTGGTCAAAAATTCGTGCCATAGAAAAGCTTAAAGCCAAAAACCACTTTTGAAAAAGAGACTCTGACAGCGGACACACGCTTGGCTACCGCCACCCCCAAATGGCCTGTCCAGGCTGGTCCTGAAACACGGGTGCCAGGTGCTTTGAATCGACATATTGGAGGAATGACAAGCTGAAAGCAGCCTTCTCTATTGCCGCAGGTGACTTGCCAGGAATTGAAAGACTTTTCTTTTTCTGCTTGTTTCTTGCCTCTGAAACCAAAGTTTTCTCGCTGGGTGCAACTTGCGGAGTATGACTTGCTGTCCAGCGTCC